GTATAATCTTTAGTTGATTCTTTTTCATGGATGCACTATAGGCTTACAGCTGTCTGAGGATATTAATTCTGCTCGCCTAAAGTCCTCTGTGCTTTCTCTGTTAACTCTGATTCATTGACTTTAAGCTCTTAAGTTTGTTTGGGTTTGTTTTCTGTCCCTAATGGAGTTAGCTTTCTCACATTGTTTGGTCATTCCTGAGTACCACTCATCTTTGTAGTTGGAATTCTGCTGCTTACAGCTCTAGGGGAGAGGTGAAATGAGATGCCGGGGCTTGTGTTCCAGATGGATTCTCCTGAGAATAAGGAAGGGGAGGGGTGGGATGTGGCTAGTAAGGGAGTGCACCCCTTCCAGGGTCTGAGACCCTGTGCTTTTCTAACACCACTTGCTCCTGCCTGGAGAAAGACACCCTTTGCTGACTTGTCTGAGGCATTTGTAAAATTATTATTAGTCACAAATGCTACCCTACCCTATTTCTATATTAAAACTCCCAAGAGAGATTCTGCTTTGCCCAGCTTGCCCTAGATTGGGCAGAGTTTCTGCCTAAGCCCATAGTTTTCACCTGGCCAGCCTGTGGGTGAACTGTCCCTCCTGGGGCCAGGAATGCACTCCTGGCTGTAGCCCGGCAAGGGGAGGGGTGCCCAGGGCCAGGTGGCCCAAAACACAGCTGCCAAGGGCTGCCTCTGTCTCCATCTTACTGATGAGCAAACTACAGCTCAGAAGACCAGCTCTTAACTAAGACCTGATTGATGGAGACAGATGGACACAAGGCTAACAGCTACTAAATGAGTAAAACTTCTCACTGTTTCTGATGTAACCTGTCAGAGAGACATTTTTTGAAAGATGATGAAATGAGGCAATGTATGGGTAGGGCAAATATGATACAGAAAAGAAATGTAGCATTTCAGAGGAGAGAAGGTCAGGCGACCTAGGGAGAGCCCGTGAAAAAGAGCGACCTTGAGCTGGGCCTGGGTTATATGCCAGACACCATGCCTTGTGCAGGAGAAAGAGTTGATGACTAGGACAGAGGCCCTTTCCTCAAGGGGCTCATAGACTGGGAAGAGAGACAGACATCTGAATACTGAGAAGACCATGTGTTAGGACAGTGGCAGTGGACCAAGACGTGGCTCAGCTCTTGGTCAGCTGGAAAGGAGTAGATGTAAGGGATGGCTCAGAGCAGGAGAAGTGGAACAAAGGCTTTTTAGCTGAGAAGAGGAAGGAAAGGCATTCTAGACAGTACAAAGGCAGAGGAGCATGAAACCTAGGGGTGTGCTGGAACTGCGTGCAGGCTGGTATTCTGGAGCATGAAGTGCAAGGAGCAAAAGGCAGTGCATGCAGCTGCACACATCACAGGGAGCCAAGTCCCCAACAAGGGACTCCTGTCACCCAGGAAATTCCAAGGGACTTAGGAGCTCTCTGTCAGGACTGGGGACAGAGACCAAATGTTAGAACAGGAGATGCTCCTAATACCCCATTGCTCAGGAAGTTAGAAGGGTTTTAGGAGCTCTGTACCAGAAGCCAGAGACCACATACATATTTCTTCCATCACACCACACAGGAAAACAGAAATCACTCTAGGTATTTCAAACAAAAAGGGACTTTATACAGGCAATTAGTGTTTATTACTGGAGCAGCTTGAGGTGGTGAAAGTTGGGGGGTGGTGTGAAGGATTGTTATTTTACCACAGCTGATTTCCAGAGAATCAGAGAAGTCAGAAAACCACTGCTGACGTCATTACAGCGCCATGGTCCCCAGGCTGGTGACGGGTGGTGAATGTAGAGTCCGGCTAGCCCCTAGAGCATGCACGTCTGTTTCTGTAGAGGATGGCTTCTACCTCCTCTCCACCTTCCAGATTTCACATGGGTACATTTTTTTTTAAAGATTGGGCCGGCCCAGTGGCACACTCGGTAGAGTGCGGCGCTCGGGAGCGCGGTGGCGCTCCCGCCGAGGGTTCGGATCCCATGTAGAGACCGGTCCGCTCACTGGTTGAGCGCGGTGCGGGAGCGACACCGAGGGTTGCGATCCCATTACAGGTCACGAAAAAAAGACAAAAAGGAAAAAAAAAAAGATGACTGGTAAGGCGATCTTAACCCTTGACTTGGTGTTGTCAGCACCACACTCTCCCAAGTGAGCCACGGGCCGGCCCTAACATTAACTTTTGATAAGTTAAGGATACATGTTCTAATTTCTTTTCTTTTTTTTTTGTCTTTTTTTCGTGTCCGGCAATGGATCGCAACCCTCAGTGTCGCGCCCGTACTGGACCGGGACCGGCAACAGGATCGCAACCCTCGGTGCTGCGCCCGCACCTCGCTCAGCCAGTGAGCGGGAACCGGTCTGTATGTGGGATCCGAACCCTCGGCGGGAGCGCCACCGCGCTCCCAAGCGGTGCACTGTAGCAGTGCGCCACCGGGCCGGCCCTACATGTTGTAATTTCTGTGGTAACCAATATACGCAGAGAAAGGGTACAAGACTTTCAAACTAAAAGAGGCCATGGGGAGCCTTTAAAGCAAGGGAGTAACACAGTAAGATTGGTAACACTGCTACAGTGCGCCACTTGGGAGCGCAGCGGCGCTCCTGCCGAGGGTTTGGATCCCACATACAGACCGGCCGCTCACTGGCTGAGCGAGGTGCGGGCGCAACACCGAGGGTTGCGATCCGTTGCCGGACACGAAAAAAGACAAAAAGGAAAAAAAAAAAAAGATTGGTAATTCCTAGAAATATAACTGGTGATAGTGTAGAGAAAGATAAGCGGGTAGGAGAGACTGACTATTACAATTATGAAGGAGGAAGGTCTAGATTAAGGCAGTAACAAGAGGAGCAGAAAAACGCCTGAGAATTTTCAGAGGAAGAAGAGACTTGAGTTGATACTCGACTTCCTGTGAAATAAGGAAAGAATCAAATAAATACTAAAGTAAATGAAAGGGAGAGTCAGTCAGTATGGATTATAAAGAGAATGGAGAATGTCCATTAATCCAGTGAGTTAAGAACACATTTGTTAACCAATATCCCTGTTATAAAAGATCTAAATTCACTTCTTATTGCTTCTCTTGTACTTGGAATAGCATCTGGCACATACTACAAGTATTTGCCACTATATTAGCATTCATGTTCAACTACGTACAGGTAACAGTGCATGCAAGGGTAGAATTCCACCTACTTTACACAGTCTCCAGAATCGGAGACCATCTGTACTTAAACTGTCAAGAGTGCACAGTAGGGAATATATACTGCAGCAGTTCCTGATTGAATACATATGAATACAAGATACAGTCGGTTTCACACTACTAGAAGTGGATTATCCAGCGCTTAAAGAAAGANTGATGTATATCTAACTTGCAGACATAAAAACCTTAAAGTAACAACAGAAGATCTATAATATCCAAGAATTTCAAAGACTAGCTACTTACAACACCTTTGTCCACTAGGAAAGAATCCACAGTGGCACTGACTTTCTTCCTTCTATGGACATCAAAAAGTACTGAAAATGTTACAAATAGTTAGGAGAAACTCAAAGACAGCCCATGAGGCTCCACCAGTCCCACTAGATGGCACCATCACAGGGACATCACTCTGCTCTCCCATTTGGAGCAGCAAGAGCTGAAACCTCTCTTGATCTTTGCAAAACTGAAAGCTGTCATCAGCACAGTGATATCCTCACTGGGAAATTATGACCCATAATGAGAATTCAAAGCTAGGAAGAGGAGTTTTTCCAAAAGCACTCTCTTCTCCTAGTATCACTGCCCCTACACCACCCTCATTTCAAATCAATGGTGTGAAAGATACAATGTTTTGCAGGTGAAAAAAAAAAAAAGGTCATACAAAATGGAGATTTTCTTTTCCTCTTCCTAGCTCTGCAAACTACAGAATAATTTACTTTTTTTTTTTTCAAGTCTCTTTGTTACAGAAAAAGAAATACTCTCCTACTAGTAT